TTGCTTTTCTCTCCTGTATGTCACGAAATATGAATTGTATGAACAGTAGTTAGTCTGTGTCATAGGAACCTGTTTGTTTTCATCAGTTTAATGAACAAAGTTAGAAAGCATCTACAAATGTCAGTAAGTTTCATTTTTCTCAGAAAACGAATTTTCGCTGCGAAAAGCATAAAATTCCCGAACCCATTTTGATGAAGACGACATAAAATGACATTGAAAATTTTGTTCTAAGAGCCATTGCACATAAGCCACGACCAACCACTGCAGAAGCTACTCAATCGACTTTCTTCAAACTTGATTTCAATTACATAGGTCAAAAGTCAAGGGGGAAAAAGCGGATTCGCGTATTCCGGAATTCTCATATACTCGGAAGTATTTACAGGTATTCGCGAGTATTCACAGGTATTCGCAAGTATTCTCATTCCTCTAAAAGTTTCCTGGGCAATAAAAATACGTTAAAAGCATTGCTCCTAACTTTTAAATCTATTTCTGACAATTATGGTTCTTAATTAATGTACTGAAACAGGGTCATTTTCTAAAGTCAAGAAAGATCAAGCATAAAGAGGAGCAGTTTTCCTGTTCTCCGAGACATCATAAATAGTTTTTATTTTTGTATGGTAAAACAATATATCGTTCAGCGCTATTTTTGTTTATTCATTCTTTGGACACGTATTAAGCGATCAGATGAAAGTTGATTATTGTTAGTCGTTAAATACCATGCTGCTGTTTGTTTATGTATATATTTATCTTTGTTATTTATTTTTATTTTGAAATATGTTCCTTGACGTTTGTTATCAATTTCATCATAAATTCTCATACCACGAAAATTTTCTGTTGTTGATGCAATACTTGGTTGGATCCCCTCTAACTGCTCATCTTCATACTCCTCTTCACTATCAAGTTCGTTTTGTTCGCCTGAAACTTCACCACTATCTGAACTTTCTGTATCTGTATTATAAGAATTATTATCACTATCATTATCTAAATCATCGTCGGATTCGAGTGTTGAACGATCGACTGTACGCATACTATTTTGAAGCCGGCTATGGATATTTAAACATAAATCTTCGAGTTCATATGCATCATTTTCTTTCAATATTCTAGACATTTCAAGTTTATTGATAAATGTTTTAGCATATTCATAAGCGTCGTTAATTATTATTTCAATTTTAGCTGTTGTTATTTCATTTACCTCTAACAATACCGGTGATATAGAGTTACATTGTTTTTGTTTATGATGCGATGGAAACTTAATCGCATAATTATTATCATTCGACTGTTCATAAGATTTTATATCATCTAAAATTGAAACTTTTCTTATTTTCTTCATAAATTGTTGTATAGTAAAATTTGTCATCGATGAAAATGGACCGGTTAATGCTCGTGCACTACGAAATATATTTTCACACGATTGAGAACTAAATAAATAAATGTTTAACGCTTCAATTGGTAATTGCTTATCTAACACTAATAATAGAATGTATGTTAATGTATGTGCATTCAATTCTATCGAATCGAATGCTGCTTTTGTGATAAAGTATTTATCTTTAGAATTCGTATTTTTTGATGATCTTTTATTTGTTTTTATTGTTGGTTCAATTTTAAATGTGCAGTGCTGTAACCACATCCACCACAATCGACAAATAAATACAATTGTCCAAGCGTAATATAATCTCTCACAGATAGTTGTTGATCGCTCTATATATGCAGATATCACAAAATGCAATACGGAAAGATAACAGTAAGTGGCAAATGTTTCATCTTCTGAAGCACGTAAGAGATTTAAAACATCTTTTGATGCTATCTTTAAACAAGAAGCAAAGTTTTGTCTATCTTTCGGAAATAGATCTGATGA